GAAAAAGCAAAAAATATTAATCTCTAAACCTATAAAAACCTATAAACATAAATCTCTAAAACTAAAGCTAATGCGCATCACTGCAGGCGGTGGTGCGGGGTGGTCGACCGCCCCACTGTTTTTAGTTTTGTTTTTTCCGTGCCGCGCGTTTCTTTCACTTTTGCAACTTAATAATAATAAGTAGTAGTTTTGGTTTTCCTGTGACTTATTTGCAGTATGATAAATGGTAGGAGCATAATATATGCTCCCGCTGTTTTGTTGGTCTTTTTTTTTGTAAATAATAAATTACTTTTTTTGTGGTTTTCTTTATTTATTTTTGCATTTTGAGATCCTATGACGTCAGCAACTACTCAACTTCTTAATCGACTTTTATTATGTTAATGTTGACTTTAAAAATGATGTAGTCGTTCAACCCCTACCAGTGACCTCAACGACCCAAAAAGGAAGAAGTGGGTAAAGATAATGGATGGACGGACGGACGGACGGACGGACGGATGGATGGAAATAAATATTAAAAATGCTTGCATAATCAAATAAGAAGTACATGAATTTCTCGTTTCTTTTTAGCATTTTGGACCTCTGAGATTCAGGCCACATACTGTATCAAACAGAAATAGTGTAAATGACTATCATTAAGCAGGATTTGGTTTGATCTGAGAGAAAGGAGAAGAACCATTTGCCCACAACACACAACCTGTTTCCCCACATGACCACACTGACCCATATTGGTCCATGTATGGCAAACCGGTATTACTAATGCAAAACACTGTATTTTCTACACAAAAAGGAAGTGGGACACACCTAAAGCATAACATGAAGCATTTAGCTGTGACTACATTGAATGTAAAGGAAGGTGTGATGAAAACATCAACACATCCTGTATATTTAAGCTCCAGCATCCTGTGAGGTGACTCTGCTTGGTTTTATCACTGCAGACTAACACAGTGAAGGGACTTTAATGCACATTATAAGAAACACCTAATTGTGTTTGCATGGGGCGGGGGGGGGGGGGGTAAAGTTTGCATTTCAACCCATTTTAAAGTCTCCAAAATGGTGACCCCGAGCATGACCTGACCTCTGACGATGGTGACAAGTGCGCAGCTCTGATGAAGATGGACTATTCCTGAGAGCCGATTATGCCCACAAATCTGTCATCATCCTCACCTGAAAGACGAGAGGCAGGCGCAGGAAGGGAGGTAGACAGAGATGGGGAGAGGGACCGAAATAAGTGGTCTGTGGCGACGATGACGAGATCAAGAGGAGATCACAGAGGGTTCCATCCTCACCTGAGCCTGTCGAAGCACCTTCAGTCACCCTTGGCAGACATCCACAACTGAGCACCAGAGGGAAAAAAGGTCAGCCAGGGGCCATGGGGTCCCACCATGGGGCAAAGCTTTCCCCAATCCCTTTATGCACACACAGACACACACACTATTCCCATTCTCATCCCTTATACCCCCTTGACCTCACTATTAAAACACAGGAGCAAATCTCCTGATTGGTCACAGTGGCTTAGAAACAAATGATGTCAAATACCTGACTTCTGTATGGCCTTCTCTGCAAAAAGACATGAGGGCTGCAGCCATGTTGCACATTCCACTAAAAAGGTTTCAGTGCAGAAAATGCACTTTGCAACAATCAGTTTAAGATTGTTGGGGATGTAAGGTGTGTAGAAAATTTTAAAAAATGAAACAAGCAAGCAAGTGAACATTCTTCCTTGATGAATCGTTATTATTATGATATGATTATAATGTCAGGAATCAAATTATCTTGAATATAGAATAAAAAATTTTATGAAACTACATGACACAATATGATGTCAGACTGGTGAACACTTTAATTTGGACTCATTAACGTTCAACAAATTGCTTCACGAAAAATTAAAAATACATTATTAATAAAAATTTGCTATCCGTTGTGGAAAGAAAATTAAATAAATTGGTAAAACAAGTATGACAGATAATAAAAAGGATAAAGGGATGATCACATTGCGCATGGCAGTAAGGGACTTTTTACAGTCTGTGTTTGCAGTCATTATTTAAATTTTAACCAAAGTAGAAACAATTAAACTTGTGGAAAAGGTGGGTTTTGTGTTCACTTTACATTCATTGATTAGTTCGGATTGGTTTGTACTCCTAACCTTCAGCAAGTACCTGACTGCTGCTTTTTGCTTATCTAGACAAAACTTGTCTGTTTTCATGAAATCTGTTGAAGTGTTGTAGCACATATGGAACACGTTATACTTTTATGCTAGTGCAATTATAGATCCTAGAGCAGGCGGTGTACATCTGCACTATACTAAACTTGTGATTTTCAGAACTTGCTGTACTTTTACTGTGAAAATTTTCACTTTTTTGCTTTAAAATCTGGAACAGATGCAACAGTCGTCGTGAATATTTCTTCCCATTTGGCTCACTAAATTTCTGGTTAGTCAGCAGTTGTTCCGCAGCCACATAACGGTTTTCTGAAATCTACCCACACTGGAAAAACTTCCTACATCAGGGTTTGATTAAAGCCAGGGAGGCCGTGACCCGACCAGCCTGCATGGAAGAAAAAGAAAAGTGAGGCGAAGCTGATGACAGCAGTTGTGTGCGGACTTGTTTGTACATTAATACGAAGAGGACGCCGCTTGTGAATTCCTGGTATGAGAAAGGTTACAGAGGTTTGAAACTCTTTCTGGGGGCAGGTTGGGCAAACTTTCTTCAGAATGAATCACCAGTGTATTAGATTTTGACAATGCACCATGTTCAAATTGGTTTAATGTTAGTGTATAAATCAGTGGTTCTCAAGCTGTGGTCCGCAGACCCCTGTGGGTTCTTGAGCCGGTGCTTGGGGGTCCGCCAAAAAAACAACAACATATTATTTTACAAGCACATAGATGTTTAACAACCTGTGAAAATGCACCAAAATGCAGGAAATCACATTACTTTATTCAAAATTTCTGGGAAAGGACCCCCCCCACCGGATCGGTTTACAAATTCAGCCCGTTACTTGGTATGACTACTGCTGTTATGATTCTGTTGCGTTTAATGTAATAACTTGATGGAGTGGCAATACATTTATTATGTTCATTATGTGAATAGTTCATATTTTAAAGTGGTTTTTGATGCTGTTAATTTTCTCAAAACTGTCACTTTTGAAAGTTGAAATTAAAAGTTCTGTTAATTGTGTCTGGAATGAAAAATACCACGTTTAAAGTATAAATGTTGTATTCACACTATAAAAGAACAGATCTTAAGTATTTATGTTGTACAAAATGTTTCCATTAAAGAGACAAATTGAAAAAATTTAATGAACATGAGGGGTCCCTGAACCCTAAAAGTCTAACCCAGGGGTGCCCAAACATTTTTCCTGAAAAGACCAAATTTAAAATCTATCAGAGGACTGTGGACCAATGTAATAATATTATAATACATGAAATGAAAATACTTCTTTAAGTAAACTTTATTTATTATACAGTTATTTAACCTTCAATTCTGTATAAAGAACATCACATAACAGGCTGTGTTGTTGTTGTTGTTGGTGGTGGTGGGGGGGGGGGGGCAGTCTGGGGTCCTCCCCAAGAGAATTTTGAATAAAATAGATGCTGCATTTTGGTGTATTTTACAAAAGTTTATTACAGTAGATTAGCATGAAACAAAACATGTAAACTCATTATTGAAGCTGCAGCTCTGCAGGTAAGGGGTGTTCACTTCAGGACAAATTAAGGTTGCTGATTAGTTCATTGCTGACATGCTGGATTGACTGACAGGTGGCAGGACTCGTGCAAAAAAAAAAGTATAAATCATAGATTTTACTGGTCCGTTGAGACTGTCATCATTTATTCCAAATTCAATATTTTGGTGAATCTAAGGTTTAAGAACTGTTTCCTTACAAAATCCTAATGTTTTATTTTTCAGAGGTGCTGAGTTTAAATTTAGGGGTGCTTGCGCGCCTCAAAAAGAGGCTAAAATCACTACTGAAGCCACTTCATATTTTTAATTTAGGCTATTTTTAAACACTTTGTGTGTGATTCATAAGTGTATTAGTGCAGGATCAAAGGAAAATATTTTTCAGTGGCAGGAAGCTGTAGAAAGTCTGTCAAAATAAAATATAAATTGGTAAAATTAAGTTATTTAATGCACAAAATAGCCAGTCCAGCTGTATAATGCCATTAAGGAAGTCTTTGGGCTGACTTTCTATTTAACATTAACATTAAAGTCAGAATGACTGAGTGTAAACACACTGAAACTTCAAAGGAAATTTTAATATAGTAATGAGGACAGCAAGGTGGACCAAATTTGGCCCGCGGGCCCCACTTTGAGCACCCCTGGTACAAATATTCTGTTCACACAGTGTGCACCTCATTAACTTCCTTGCAGCTCTCACACATTTTCCGTTGCCGTCCATCAGTTTTTGCTTTTGGTTGTAAGATTTTCACGTCGTCTCCTGTGGGAACATCGGTGTCGACTGCAAACTTGGAGGAAGCTCCGTTCACGCTGCAGTTTAAAAAGAGTGATTGAAAGTTCCTCTTTTTTCTCCCCAACCGACGACTTAAAGGTTACGCAGTCGAGGTGACAAACAGAAGCACATGCAGTCAGAGTGTTGCAGCTGAGGCTTTTATAAATGTGTCAGTTCATTCAGGTGAGGCTTGCAGCTTACAGAAATGCTGTTGGATGTGTATTTATTTTTAAATAGGATGAGACAAAAGCCACTTTAACCTAGCCGTTCCTGTGTGGCCTGCCCCGTCCGATTTGTTCCTCCATTGCTACTGTTTATTTCTTCTCTTCCTGTTTGTGTTCAACTGACCACGAGAGCGGTTCCTGTGAATGCTGAGCAAAAAAAAAAAAAAAAAATTAAAGAGAGCTACACATTTTAGCAAAGCCTCTGCCTTGTGGTTGCTGTGGGCAGGCGGGTGTGTGTGCATCATAGCTCAGAAAGAGACAGTAAAGAAGGCTCTCCACCACAGTGCTAACATGTCAACAGAGATTAAACTAGTTTATTATTTTCAAAGAGGGGGAAAAAAAAATTACGAAACAAACAAACAAAAAAAAAGATCAGTCATATTTTACACTAGTGATTATTATTAAATTTTTTACAACCATTCAGTCTGCGTAACATAAAGAAATAATTCTACATCTTTGTTTCTTTCGTATTTTTGGTACTCTGATTTATACATACAAATAACAAATACAGGAACTTTTCACAATGCATATAATCTGTAGGCGGAAAGAAAAGTCTTTCAGGTGATGCAATATGTGTGTGTGTGTGTGTGTGTGTGTATGTATGTGTGTGTGTGCGCTTCAACACAAACCAATTGCCCGAGACCTACAGCACATCCAAAAAGGAAACAAAATGAAGAAAATAAAGACGAGAGACACCGGCAGGCCAGAGGCGCCGACGCTCTAAACTTAATGCGACACATTTCATGCAGGCAAATCCACGGCCTGCCCCGTTTTCAAAAGTTTTTCCCTCTTCCTCCATTCTTTTCCCCTCCTCCAGCGTTCCGAGGCATCTCACAGCCTCCACCTGCTGCGACTCGTACCCTTTCTTGTCGTTAGCTGCGTGTTCCCCTATATTTTTTTTTCCCCCCATCTTAATTAAAAAGTCTTCATTAAATGTACTGTATTTCATACAATTTGTACAAATGTGTTCAGTTTCTTCTCGAGAACAGGAAGGAAAAAAAAAGGGGGGGGGGAGCCAGGAGGGGTTTCCTGTTACACAGGTGCAAAGGTGAAAAGGGGTGGTGTCAGAGAGGGCGTCAAAATGTTCTGGTAATGTCTGCTCAGGTGGAAAAATGGCTTTTTGTACACAAATGGAGCTACTTATGTGCAGGACACAGCAAGGAGAAATGTCTGTTCTCTCCTGGGGTGGAGGGAATAAAAGAAGTCTTTCCCTCCCTTGGAGGTCAGTGTGCCACAGTCAAGTCTGGAAAGCATTTACATCGCAGAGGTACGCTTGGGTTTTTACTTTTAAAAAAAACGGGGGAGAAAGACGGGGGAGTTGGATCGAACCAAGGAGGAGTCTTTTGGGACGTGGAAGCAGGTGTGCAGAGGTACCAAAAGGTGTGGTGGTGGCAAGGCCGAGGGGCGTCTGGAGCCTTAACCCATGGCTGTGACCATACTGGAGGGGTGGTGGGGGGCAAACGGAAGGCTTGAAGATGGGTGCATGGGTGTGGGGGTGGTCAGCATGTGGCCGGAGTGCGAGAAGGGAGGGAAGGAGGACATGTGGCGGGACAGGGCGGCGGGGCTGAACGAGCTGCTCTTGTCCATCAGGCTCTTGGAGAAGTCGTCCATGCTGTCTTGGGACTTTTTGCTCTTCTTGGACTTGCTCGACATCTTCCTGTTCCGGGTCTGGATGCCTTCCTTCTTCATGGTCAGAGGTCGGTTGATCTGCTCTCAAAAGAGGACAAGAAAGACGGGAAATTAAAATTTTGCCTTTGGGGACACCCGTGTTATTTAATTTGCGGACTTATTTTGATTGAAAATGCGCCTTTGGATAATAAAATGCTGCCTCAAATAAGACTTATATTTTTTGAGCTGTACATAACTCAGGAAGTATTAAATACTTGCTGACCTTTGCTAAAACACACACTCTGCCTATACTACTGTACTGTAAATAGTCTGCCACTCTCAAATGTTCAACACATATTGAACATTATTATTGTTACTGTTTATCTTATTTATTTACATGTTGTTGTTTTTTTTAATTTTAGGAACTTTTTGTGTGAGTATTTTTTTATCCGTTGCGGCTGTTACACTTGAATTTCCCATTTGTGGGACCAAAAAAAAAAGGCAGTTTCTATTCTATCGTACATGTTCGGAGTTTGGACGTGCACACGTATTTGTAATTTGGAGTCCCACATTTAATCTGCCGTTGTGTGTTTGGGTTTAAATGTTGATTTCCTTAAAGCTGGACTGCATCTGAAGCTGAAAGCCAGAATGAAAAGGAGGAGGAGAAAACGAGGATGGAGTGAGGGAAGATGTGCACGGTGCAGAACCTGAAACAGTCTGACAGCTAATGTGCAGCCAGTCGAGCACGAAGACGCATGGCCATGACGACTGCCGCCGTATGCCAAGTCCTTCTCTTCACCCTCCACCACTGCTCGGACACCTCCCGGCCAAAATGGCCCCAGCAGCCATATTACAGCACAGGTTCAGGCGGAGGCTGCTGGAATTCCAACTATAGGCTGGATTAGGCCGAATGAAGCCGGCTGGACTCCTTCTTTCCTTTCATCTGGGCATTTCTTAGTTTTAACAGTCAGCAAAAAAAATCGAGTGCACATTGGTTAGCAGAGGGCCAAGATTTGTGTTTCATTTTTTTTCAGCCAGAGAGACTTTCTCCAGCTACACCTCCCTAAAGCCAGTTAGGCCTGTGCTCTTTGATGCTTGGATGTCTCGCAGAGGAAGCCCCGGGCCTCCGGCCTGCGCTCAGCCGCCGCCCCGCAACATCAAACAAAAGCCAAATCAAAACGCTGAAGTCAATGACCACCAAAGAAAACGCAGCGCAGACTCTTACATCCTGCCTGCAGCAGCCAACCACCTAAAACCTCAGCCTGCGACAAAGGTGTCAAAGCTCATTCACTCAGAACTCCACGAAGATGTTTCAGGTCTGAACACATTTGTTTTGGTGGCAACTTTTTAGTGCTTCCTTTCCGAGCTTACGGCGCTCCTGTAGCGGCAGGCCTGCAGACTTAAAAATAAGCCTCGACTGAAGTCTGGATTTACCCAAATAAACTCATTTGACAATTACATCGGGGTCTTCAGACGCTGATGTGAAGCTGGGAAACATTATTCTCCGTGTTTCACCTCGCTCTCAGTCTGTTATTTGCAGTGCGCTGCCAAAAGTAACATGGGAAAATGATTTAAGAGTGAGCGCCTGCGTGACAAGCGGGGCAGCGGAGCAGGATGCTCTTCTCCTTCCATGGGCTACAACTCTATCTGTCGCATGTGAGAAAGAGGAGGAGGGGGTAAAAAAAAAATTACCTACATGTGGCCTGAGAGCAGTTAGCCGGCTTATTATTATTATTAGTTTAAGCTACAATGACCCGTTTGATTAGAAGTGACAGCTTTGTGCACAGGAGAGGAGAGATAAACGAGTCCCTGGGGTTTTTCACATGGAATATGGGAAATGATGTGGTGAGGCAGCGAGCAGCCCAGAACGAATCAGGCGGATTGGTGGTCAGAGGGGGGGGAAACTCAAAAGTCCCCGGTGTGCAAAGGGCTAGAAATACCAAGGAAAGAAAAATCAGCTTGGAAATTAATCAAATTTTAATTAATATTCAAAAGCGAAGCGAGCTTCTAGTTGAGATTACTGCCAGTGGAGGCACATATCTCCATGTGGAAATGTGCATTCAAGGGGAACCCTTAAAGATGACGTGTGTCCTGAGAAGGTTTGTTACTTACATTGTGCAGTTTAAAGTAGAGGCCGCATGCGTTGCACACCGGGTCCCCGTTGGCGTTTCTCCGCCACAGCGTCGTCGTTGTCGTCTGACAGTTTGCGCACGACGTGCCCGCGCGCCTGGCTGCAGACTGCGCCATCAAAGAAGAAAAAGAAACCGGGTCACGTGACCACATTACGACCCAATTACCATAGAGATTGATCAGGGCAGCTTTTAAACATGCTCCCAACGTGCAGGGCTGAGATATATATATATAAGCTTTTATTTATTTATTTATTTTTTTTATTATTATGATAAATGTGTCAGTTTGGCAGCTCTGCACATAAAAGCATGTTGCATAGAAGAATTTACACATAAACATGCACAAAAAAAAAACAGTTTCTCATCTATTACTACTACTAATAATAATAAAAATCACTTTATTCTAAAGATATACACATTTTTCATGTCCTCACTTCCTTTTAATTTGATGCAAGCTGAGAATAGTTTGGAAAAAGAAAGACAGAAATGCGAGAGGAGGGAGAAAAAAAAAAAAAAGCAGAGCTGCTTGACTGGAGGCTAAAAATAGCGTGATAGAGCACATACCTCGGAGAGAATAAATATTTACAGAAAAGACATAAAAGCAGCGCTCATGATTCAGTTTTAAAGTGAGAAAAACAAAAAAAGAAAAAAGTCAGAGTGCGAATGGAAGTTTCTGCGGTGACTTTAAAGTATAGAGGCGCTTCAAACTAGGAAAAGTGAAGATGGGAGGTGTTTGTCGCCCCCCCTGACACAGTCATCCAGTGGATTTCAGCTGCCTGCCTCGCCCTGACATTGATGTAACAATCTCTAAAAACAATCAATACGCAGGTGGCCGTAGAGGACACGTTCAGCTAAGGACTATATTATCTCTCGGAGGGATTTCCAATTACGACGCGTTGGCCTAATAACCCCTGCTGCTGCGTGCTTTGAATAACCAATCAGAAACGAGGATATAGGCGCGCGTTTTCTCTGCTCTTCTAAATGATTTCTGCGGTAAAAGTCTGGTTCTTTATATATATATATGTAAAAAAAACCACATCAAACATAAATGGGAGTCGCAGCTGACCATGTGCGTGCGCGTTTCAGCAGATTGTGGCGCAGTGTTTCTGCTCTGACTTATCTGCGCCGCTCAGATATCCGGCACTCATTTCCTGACATGTCGGCTTTTCACTTTACAGGCAGGAGGTAAGAAGTCCAGAGCACTGGACGGCTATTTGTTGCCTTGAAATATATATATATATATATTTATATATATATATATATATATATATATATATATATATATATATAATTTTTTTTTTTTCCTAAACCAAAGGGGAACTCCTTATAGAGCTCATAAAAGATGAGAGGGGCTTTCCCTGTGATAACAAAAATAGCTCCAAGTTGCAACAATTAACTGCAAGTGCAACCATTTTTTTTTCCTTCTTCTTCTTCTCTTACAAATTTCTTATCGCTACAATTGTAATACATACTGCGAATCACAGTCATTGCAAGTCAAAAAATTAAAAAAAATAATAATAATAGCATCGTCACCTTTAAGGTGATGCATTCCTTTGAATTTCTTTTATTATTTTTTTTTTTCTAGAGTATCTTAAAACAGAGACCTGCACTTGTCGAGTCAATTTCCTGCAGCTAATACTTCTTCCTGGATAGGGGAAAAACAGAAAAAAAGAGACGGAAATGTGATCAGCAAGAGGGAAGAATATTGGTGGAGACGTACCAGCCGCCGCTTGGGCTTGATGAGAGGGCGATTCTGCCCGTTCATCTTGTGATAGAGGCCGCAGGCGTTGCACAGATAGTGGCCTGTACCGTCCCGCCTCCACAGAGGGGTCGACGTGGCCCCGCAGTTCACGCACTCTCTACCTTCTGCAAAACGCATACAACGACGACATGTGTGAAAATAAAAGTCAAAGCGAAACCAGTTAAATAAGAAAATTTAAAAAATAATAATAATAATAGTAATGGACACAGGCGTGAGATGGCCTGTTCAAATGATGATGATAATAATCATAAAGGCACTGGGGAGAGAAACAAGGTGATTGCAACACTCGTAAACAAAATATAGCAATGATTTTATTATTAATAATAATAATAATAATAATAATAATAATATGTGTGTGAACATTTCTCACACACTTTGAGCACGTGTTTGTTGTGTTGAGGTCCATAAAACCACAAAACTACAGCGTCCTTTGTCTACAACATGTTGGCAGTTTGGGGGGGGGGGGGGGTGCAATTTAAATTAATTTCTTTCATCATCCTGCTATGACAATAATAATAATAATAATAATAATAATTAAAAATAATATAGATGTGAGGAAGTGGCTTCTTGTTATTAAATGACTCTGGGGAGTGGGGTTGGTGGGAATCAGGTTTGAGTGGCACTTCTCTAGTGACACCGACAGGTGAGAGGCGCACTGACACTTTGATTACATACTATTGGTTGGGGGGGGGGGGGGGGGCTGGCAGTAGCGCAGGATTATTTGAAAGCAGAGTGGCGCTGAGGCTTTTTGAAAAGTAACTGAGAACATTTTTTTTTTAATGCGGCCCCACTTCCCCCTTTGTTTTAGTGCTGCGCGCGCGCGCGCGCACGCACACAAATAAACACGCACGGAGAGAGAGAGAGAGAGCGACTTTTCCATAAAGAAGCAGCAGGTTCATTAGATGCGCGACAGACGCATCATCATCATCATCTCTCTCTCTACCTGTCTGTCTCTCTACCTGTCTGTCTCTCTACCTGTCTGTCTCTGTCTTGGCACCAGAAGAAGATCAGGCCTCTCACAGGTTGACTTTCTGCTCAGATGGTTTGTGCTTTCACTGTTGAGATAAAAGCCCATTAACAAGCAGAGTGTCTTTAAACGCGCGTGATCTCACATGATCCAGGAATTAAATGTTTTTATTTGCGTTCTGACGCTGAATAATCCCGGTGATATGCATCAACTAATCCAAATGCTTTCTGTGTGCACTCCCTGATATTAATCTCATTACAGAACGACAGTTTTTTCAGCCTTTAAAATAAAATAATTACACACACACCTCCCCCCTCTCTCTTTTTACAAATTCCTCTCCGTGCGCTGCGCCACGGCGGCGGCGCGTCAGCCGCGTTTGTTCCCCGTGAATGAAGGCGCTGCATCCGGTGCTCCGCCGGGTCAACAATGCGACTGTGGCGCGCGCTGGCCTGACAGTAATGGGATTAACTTAAACACATAAACTGGGCGACAGAAAACCCAGAGAGTCCAGAGCCAGGGAGCTGCGCAAAAATGGCACCAGTTTAACCACGACGCGTTTTTTTTTGTTATTTTTGATTGAGTAAAAACACAAACTCTATCAGATTTGTTAGCTGGATATTATTATTATTAATATTATTATTTAGTTGATGAAAGAGAAGGCCTGAGGGTATTTTGGGGATGTTTTTGACCCGTTTGGACACTAGAACCAGATCCATTCTGTCTGGTCTCCTTTTGGTTTTAAACACTGAGATTAAACATGATGGTTTACAGATCTGGGGGGGAATCATGTTAGATCAAAAGGGAATGTAATAAAGCGCACGCCTACCTGAACAGGACCTTGTTTTTGGTCTCGTTTTGGAACCATAACTAGAAGATGACCCACCTATGAGGCTACTTGATGGAAAGAGGCCTGGGCCGTATTCATAGGGTGGGTATGTGGCGATGGGGTGGTGGGCAGAGGCTGACCCTGCTCCAATTGATGCCATGCTCCGGCTGTGAGCTGATTCCAGTTTCATGCTCTCTGCCAGGGTCACCTGGTACTTTATGCACTCCTTGTCCTCCTGCCGTCCAGAGACGACAGAGCCCGGGGTGGACATGCCCGGGTCCGGAGACACGTCTTTCGGAGGGGTCGGGGGGAACGTGAAGAGGTGAGGGCTGGAGTGGCCCGTGGACAGGGAGGTGGAGGATGCCGGGGGATATACGGACAGGCTGGCTGGGGAGCCGTGGTGCAGGGGGTTCTTGGGGAAGGGGCTCAGGTTCCAGGGGGAGTTGCTGTGGTGGGGGGTGATGCCTTTGCTCCCCTCCAGCCAGGGCAGGGAGCTGTGCAGTAATGAAGGACGGCACACTTGACTACCTGATGCAGGACAAAAACAAGAACCTGGTTTTAGTCTGCAAATTTGTTATTTCATAAAATCAGCTTTTCTGCGCAGTAATAACAAAAAAAAAAAACAATCTGCAAACAGCAAATCTAAAAATAGATAAATAAATAAATAAATAAAAACTTCCGATCTGGAATAGTTTTGTGTTGCCACACGCGCGTAATTTCCCGTCAAGCAGGCCGTGATGCAGCAACTTGTTATTCAAAACCCTTGAAAGTTTTATTCAGGAAGTTGCAATAAAGAGAACTCCACAAGCAGCGTTCAAAATGTGTCAACAACCACAACCTAATAAAAAAATTAAAAAGAAGTTTGTGCGCAAAATGTGAATAAAAAAATATAACAACCCGACATTTGGCTAAATTTACCAGGTGGACTATCTGTGCCAACGCGTCTATTTATTTAGATCTGTCACAAAACACCTGATTGATTAAACAAACAAAAAAGAAAAATACATTCAACGGTGCGTATTAGAAATTAAAATGTATTCTCTGACTTATGAGTCAGCTTCAGTTCAGACGTACACAGAAACCAAAAAAAGCTGCGTTTTTACGCGTTGGATTTAAACAAAAGAAAGGGTTTGATATTGAAACCTGGCCCCGATGGTTAATTTTAAACACGGGGGTGAGTCTACCATTACGCACACGCATATAAACAGGAAAAATATTTGAATTTTGAGGCCAGACGAGGCTGTTTACTCACCGGGAGGAGGAGGAGGGTACCTCTGGACGGCTCGGACTGAGTTCCCATAGTACGGAGAGACGTGGTTCCCGGGTACATCGACATTAAACAGTACATCCACATCTTCTGTGAGCTGATACTGCGAAGGGTCCATGTAAGAGTGGCCGAGGCCCGGGTGATGTGAGCCGGGATGCTGTTCGTTCAACACCGCGGGATGATGGCTCACCCATCGTGGCTGATCCGCGCTTACTTCCATTTCTTCCTTCTATTATTATTGATATTTTATTTATTGTCTTTATAAAGTGTTCATGTGGCAAACCGGAGCAAAAAAAAAAAAATTAAAAATTAAAAAAGGAGAAATAATCAGTCCCAAATCCGTTTGCGTAAAATCCACAGGTTCCGCGCTCGCTGCTTCCGATCACCTGGAGACAGAAAAACAAGGCAAAAAATTATTGTCTTGTTTTCCTCATTTCAGTTCACATAAAAAACAAGTTTTTTCTGGGTTTAAAATGAATAAATAAACATAGAGGTTTCAACGTACCACGCATAACACATGCAACAAAAAGGTGCTGTCACATAAATACGTCCAAAATGGAAACCAGTCCCACCGCGGTGTTTCTCAACTCTCTCTCTCTCTCTCCTCTGGAAAAAGTCTAAAAAATACAAAGTCTGTCTGAGCCCGGTTCGACTGCTTCTCTGTACTAGAACCAGCAAAACTTCAGCTCACGGATCAGATGCGGCTCTGCGCGCAGTTGGAAGCGCTCTCCATTAAACTCCCCCCTTGTCTCTGTCTCTTTACCCTCTCGTGCTATGCGGCTCGTGCTCACTCACCCTTCCTCTACCTCCCCCTTTTTGCTCGCTCTCTCTCTCTCTCTCTTTCTCTCTGACTCTGACACTCCACTTTTTTTCTTTTTTTACAGTGAAGGCATTCTTTCAGGATGGCGCCAGGCAGCTCAATGCTTGCAGACAGCTGTGGCGCGACGCAACTTAAGGAGGGTCTGTCAGTGTCATCAATGAAGAGGAGGGGCTTGACTAATTGAACAGAACTTAGACTTTATGTAAAATTAGTGCAACGTTTTTATTTATTTAGCAATCACATTAAAAAGAAATAAAACAACAACATGAACACTTTTAAAGGCCTGAAAATCCTCTGTTTTCAGTGCGTAAATTCAGTCGTCAGTGCGTAAAAGCGCAGTGGATAAAAAAAATGAATAAAACTGAAATTATAAAGCATTTAATCTATATAATAGTATATAAAAAGATTTATTGGTTGTAAAAAAATAAATGTAAAACAAAGCTCTAAATGTGTTGGACTCAGTGCTGGAGCCTGTTGCTCTGCGCAAACACCAACTCTTTAAATTGTGCCAGTGCGTCCTCTCGCGGCGCAGGCGCGTTTTTTTTTTTTTTTTTTTTTCTGATGAGTGTCTTCAAAACTGAGCAGCTATTTTTCTCTGTGAAACAGCCCTGAAACAAGGACTGAGCTCAGAAAACTCAACAGTTTAAACAATTCTCTTTTTTTTTTTTTTGATCTCTCAATCTGGTTCATCATTAGCGGATTTGTTTAGTCTCTTTACGTACAGAGAGACCACTTCACTGCGCCTCGGACATTTGTGTGTCCAACTCTAAGTTAATGTGTATTTTTCTCTCTCTTCTTGACATTTCTTAAAATTAGCAGTAGATTGTGAGTGTTGGGGTCAGCCTCGTTCGACGCCACTGGATGTGACGTCACCGTCGATCAGGAAATGAACCCTCTCACCACGCACAAGTAGGTATAAGCAGCGGGAGCGCGCACGCCCTCGCACCACGTAGGTAACAGCAGCAGCTGGTGCAGCATCCTACCGCTGCGGAGGGGAATTTACGACCAAAAAAATACATAGATTACCCTCTGACTGAAACATAAAGCCTTTATTATTATTAATTTATTTTATTTTCATGTTGTGGGAGAACAAGTGAGAGACTAAGTGCTGTTTTTTGTTCCTCCGGGATAAACCTGGAGATGAAAGGGGCAGACAGACGGCAAACCTGAGAGTGCCATTGTCGAGCTGTCAATCTCTGAAAAGTCTCCATCCACGACGACGCATGACTCTGAATGTGCTGAAAATCTCTATTTCGTCATGTTTTTGTTATTTTCCTCTCTTGGATGTGAGAAAGCTGAGAGAAAATAGGACATGATGTGACCCGATTGTCAATAGGAGCTTATTCAGGGTGGAATTGGACGAGGAAAATAGTGAATTTATAATCCCAATCTGTGTGAGGGGGAGAGAAAAAAGCTTTTTTTTGTGTATTCCTTTAAAATAACAGCATCACATTAATTCTGCTGCTAAAGGTTGATTCAGGTCCAGACGCTCTGCTGATGGCAGAGATCATCTCTGACTGATTATGGCAGCCAGCTCTGATTAAAATCAAGACATGGCAACACAGGCTTGTCTTCTTTTTTTTTGTTTGTTTGTTTGTTTTTTAAAACACTGCGGCTCAGAATTGATTATTCTGCTGCCAGTGTGGGGGATCAGATATTTTAGTCCTGTAGGAATCATTGGAAATACATGTCTTTCTTTATTAGTATTAGAAAAAAATACACGAAAATACAAAAACTGGTCGTTTTTTAAAAAAATATTTCGAAAGAGACATTTCAAGAATTGCAATTGTGTCAAGAAAAAAAAAAAAAAAAAAAAACGGTTTGTGGGAGTTTCATGTCTGTGTCATAATGTACCTGCTTTCTCATTTATTCCAACACACACATGGCAAAACAACCCTGACTAACGTTTAACCTTTAATCAGAACATTTAAAAATAAAGCTCAACAAATATGATGTTAAGTGTCTGACCAAATAAAGTGGACTCCATAAAGAGACTCATTTGGACATTTTGAAACCGCTGCAGCACCGCAGGTAATCTATTTGTTGCATCACTCTTAGTCATTTGTCACCTCTCTTTGTCTTTTCAAGAAAAAGCTGCTGTTCGTTCAGCCTGAGAACCGAGTCGGCTTCTCAGAACCAAACGAGGGCGCGTGGAGGGCCTGAAACCTGAAAAACGCAACAATTCCTAGAATGATTTAAATTGAGAGCAAATTCTTCTTTAGTTTTCCTTCGAGTATCAAAAGTAGCATCATTCTTTCCTCCCATTTCATAATAATAATAATAATAATCTGCCAATTGACTGACTTGTGATGCTTATCTGAGTGTGTGTATCTCTCCTGGCCACGCGCACTGATGTAATCTTTCATTTAGCTTTTTTTTTTTTTTTTTTGTAGGCCTTTTTTCACACCTATATGCCTTCAAGCATCCATAAAAAAAAAAAGTGGTTTTAATATAAATTTAATCTCAGTGTTATTATTATCTATAACAAAAATACCCAAATGCATTCATTTTACGTTGGTTTAAAATTTTTATTAAAAAAAAAAGTAATGAAAATGCAGCTTTATTTATGCAACATTATCGAGGAATAAAAAAAAAAATAATAATAATAATAACTTTAATTATAGCCTTTTGGGGGAGCAGCGCGCGCGTTCGCTTTGCTCTTTGGCCCGTGACGGCGCGCGATGCCCCTTAATTCAGCGTCCTGTTCACTTTTACAGCCTCTCAGACATATCAAGACATATCGACCAGAGACCGAGATGGAGGAAGCTAATAACTGGGGGTGGGGGGCAACCTCAGCAACTCGGGTTTTATGCGCCGCCGGCAAAGTAATCAGATCAATTTCACGCCTTTTATGGTCTTTCTAGCCCAAATCATCAACCTGAGCGGAAGGTAATAGGTCGTTAAAGCGCTCGTTTAACCCCCCCGCTGGAGCTGGAGCTAAATAAATTTCAGGGAAAAAAAAAAGTCTTTCTTTTTAAAGATATATCCAAGTTAACCGACAATTGCGAATAAAACCAATAAGGTGAAGAAGAAACGCGCACAGAGGCAACAATGGCGGTCCCAGCCTCCCTGCGTTCATCTCCGCCGAACTCCAGTCAAAAAATCGCCAATTTAAGCCGCGACAAGTTTCACGCCGCTCCGTCTTGTTCAAAAAGACGCGCGAGCCCCCGCACTTCCTCCCGTCGTTCACGAGGCGAGCTCGGAATGTAAATATTTACTGACCTGCTGGTGGACGCCCGTGCAGATGTGGAGGAGGAGTGACGCGGAGATGGAGGCGCCGATGGCATTTAATGGGGGGGGGGGAGGAGGAGGAAGGTGGAGAGGGCGAGAGTGAGAGCTGCGGACGGGAAGGGGGGGGGGGGGGGGAAAGAAGAAGAAGAAGAAGAAGAACTCACGCGCGCCACACGCTAGCATCACTCTTGTGTTTATATGCGCGCGCAGTCCCGGTGTGGCGTAGCTCTCTAGCTCAGCGCGAGGAGAAACAGCGGGGCAGGGTGAGCGCGCGCCCAGGCGGCCTCGTTACGGCGCGCGACTCCGCCGTTTGTTGCCACTTTCATCTAAAATCACAACTACAGAGCGTCTTCAACCTTTTAACACGCACGCGCGCGCGCTCGCACAAAAAAAAAAAAAGGAGCATTATTCTTCTATTGATCTGACTGAGGCCCTCTGCCGCCATTCAAATAAATAAACACTATGTTTCTACTCGTGTTGCGTCACGCGCGCACGCGCGCACGCGCACACAAACAGGACGAGATGAAGCCAGCAGATAACGGCGCCCTGCAGCGCGAATGACAAATTAAGAGTAAAAGTGATGATGAAATCTCTGTCCATGGTAGATGGTGCAATCGCTGCAGCAGGTCGTGGTCTGGGGGGGGGGTGGGGGGGGGGTGGGAGGGGGGGGGGGGGGGGTGGGGGGTGTTTCACACCACGCTGAAACAAGCAGCTCGTGAAGGGAGGCCTGCTCTTACTGACACCATGCTTGACTGAAAGGAGCACCGAGCAAATCGTGCACGCTTCCCTGTAAACTGATCACACCCAGATTTATCTGTGGGGAGGGGTTCCATTAAGGTAATAATAATTTATATATTTTTTTTTTATAGATTTGTGCGCAAAACCAACGAATTATTCAGCATTTGCACGCATGCTTTTCAATTCTTTTAGGGGAGCGTGAATTATTTCTATAATCTAAATGCATCCAGATTTTATTGATTTATTAATCTGCTTCGGGTGGGAATAAAGTGTTTATTTCTCTGTTAGAGCTGAATGTGGAGGGGATGATAATTTGCGGATTAATTGATAAAGGCGCACATTGATGGATTTGATATAATAATAATAATAAAAAAAAATGGAAGAAAAAAAAGTTCATTATTATAGGTGCAATAGAAAAGATTAATTCCAAGAAGAAAAAAAATTAATTAGAATCAATTGCATCCTGTTCAGACAGGATAAAGGAAACGAGTTTTGGGAAGAGAAATAAAAAATAAAAATAAAAGCGGCGCGTGTTCCGGGTGCAGCTTTCCTCTCCATCTCGCCGTGAAATCGCGTGATTAATTGGAGTAGAGCGCGCGCGCCCGCGTCACTGTACACCACATTTGAGCGTGCGCACTGCGGCCTTCCCCCCCCCCCCTCCCCCCTCACACACACACACAAAAACACCCTCTTTTTCCTCCCATCCTGCTCATATTTAATAATCCCTTCAGCACAGACCATAATGTCACCATTATGTTCCGATTAAATACAGCAAGATTTCAAGTCAAATTTATAGAAAAAAAAAAAAATCTGATTTAATATCCAGCTTTAGATGCAAAACAGCGCGCGTGTCATCCAATGCACGCAAATAACCATTTGGACTCTCTTTAAATAATATACATGAACATTTTCTGCACGTGTTTGCTGTAAACAGAAAAAAAAAAAAAAAGATGACCTTAATTTGAGACAAACCCCTTCTTTTTAAAATGATTATTTAATCTATTTATTTACCCAGTTTTAATATTCTGCTCCCTCCACAGCATGTGCGATTTTATTTTTTATAAATATCAAGGAAGGTGTGTATGTGTGTGTGTGTGTGTTAAGGGGGTGGTGGGGGGGGCTGTGGAATTA